TATTTAGACTAAGTACCAATTAAAGCTTTTAATGAGCCCAGCGCTGGCAACCTACAGCCTCTTAGTTGCCCTGGGTGAGTTATTAAATAAAGGATTGCTGCCAAAGTGCCGTGCTGACAACCATTCACAGCGGCTGGCCAATCCCTGTCCTGCTCGGCCATCTGTGCACCTAAGGGCCAGAGGACATGGACAAGCTACCCAGAAAGAGGTTTGGCCTAAAGAGAATTGTATCTACAGTTGAGGGAATTTTATGAGTTTCCAATCTCAGGTTGCAAATTCAGGGAATTATTTTTCTGGGTACTCAAATATATTAAGATATTTTATTATAGCTTTGTACTATATATTAACAACTCAAACTCTCTCTTTTAGGGTGTAATCTTCATCAGGACAGGATCTATGCCATTTAGGAGCAATATTTGACATAAATCAGGGGCTTATGTGCCAAGCCCTTACAAAATGACACACACACACACACACACTCTCTCTCTCTCTCTCTCTCACACACACACAAACACAAACACTTTCCCAAACCCTGAGAACTATTCATGTCCACATTTTATAGTTTTTAACAATGACTATAAAGAAGGATTGGGCCTGTCTGGAGCCACTCAGATGGTAAGTGATGGGGTAAGAGTTTGGCCAAGATCCCTCGGACAGCAGATCCTCTGGGATGTGTTTCCCATGTGGTTTACTCTCCCTCTTACAGTGTCCTGTTGGTAAAAGTGAAAATTAACACCTATAGTGTTTACTATCAGTTGGATGCTGTCCTGTGTGTTTTGATGGGTGTGTTGTTAATTTTGTTCCCCTTTCATAGTTGAGAAAGTTGAGGTGTATTTACATACCTCATTTGGGCTAACTTGTCCAAAATACTGTAGCTTTTGTCAGAGACAGGATTTGAGCCAGAAAACCTAGCACCAGAGGCCATCCTCATAACTTCCCTGCTGCCACAGCTCTTAAGGGATGTTAAGAATGTCTGTGAAGCTTATATTTTAGCGCAGAAATGGTTGATTGGTCCAGAAATTCACATGGCAATGATTAACATTGATAAGCTTCCTCTGTCCCTCCATGTTTATAAGCAGACCTGCCACACAGATTTACATAAAGATGCTTTGTTCCATGGCCTATTTGATTTTAGATTCCTAAGTTATAAGTAAGTTACCTCTGGGAGGTTCACAGGCTTTGAGTATTGGAGGCTTTGATTTGTGTGAGGATCATCTGCTCCTGCTACTGACTAGGTAGCTTGCTCTAACTGTTATTGAGTATTATTGATCTGAGGGTCAGATTTCTGAAAGACCTGACAGCTCTGAAAACAGGACCCTTGCTCCTGGACAGTAAAGAGAACTGATGGAAAGGTTGCCTGTTAGACCAAATAGATAGTCAGCACTTTCAGAAATCCTGGAAGAGTATGACGGCTGTTTGGGAAAGAATTGTGGTGGGGGCAGAGAGAAACACATAAATATAAGGGTTGTTTAATAAGAACTTAGTAATGGGTTGACTTATGGGGCGAGGGATATGAGGAAATAAGGGTTCTGAGTTTCTAGCCTGTTTTACTAGATAAAAAGTCACTTACTTTAATTTGTTAGGAAACAGTACAGAAAGTGGACTCGTTTCAGAATAAGACAGGGAAGATTGTACACTCCATTAGGGGCTTGTGTTTTAAGTCTCTTGAAACGTCCAGGAAGAGACACCAAAGAGGCCATCGGACACAGGGGTCTGAAGCTCAGAAGAGAGGTCTGGACTGGAGACAGCTTTAGTGTGTCATCTAAGTGCAGTGGTGATGCGATCCACAGGCTTGTATGACATACTCTAGGAAAAACGCTGAGTGAGAAGAAAAGCAGGCTTAGAATCCAGTTTTAAAGGGTCCCAACATAGTATTGTCAGGTAGAGGAGAATGAGCCTACCAAATAAACAGCAACAGTAATCATCCCATTCCATCTCTAGGGCTCAGCTCAGCTCCCTTCTCCCCACCTATCCCATCAAAGTAGCCCTGAGTAGACATGGAGTTGGGCAGGGAGCTGAGCCTTTTCATAAGAATGAGGCAAGGAAGAGAGCGAGGAAGACAGGTGGCCTGATGTGAAAGGCGAGCCTTGGTAATTTGTGTCTGAAGGTCACTAGACTATCCTGCCAAGGTGGCTGTTTTTCCTATACAGAAAATGGTTCTTCCTTCTAGAACATGGTTCTTCCTCCACCACTATAACAAGGTAGCTGGAGTAAAAACAGGCATATTCTTTTTTATTTATTTCCACAGCAAGTCCTTGACCCAACCTAGGTCAAGCAGAAACCTTCTGGGGTTTCCTTATTTTTTTCCATGAACCCTATGAGAGCCCATCTCTGCGTCCCTCCAGGCCCACTGTAAGGTGAGTGCCGAGGCATTACCACGCAGATGCTGTCTGAGAGATGAAGATCATTCTCCCCGGAGCAGAGAAAATGCCTAGTGTCTTCACCAACCAAACCACTGAGTCAAGTCACTCTCGAGACTCAACTGTATTCCAGACCTCCATGGAGTTTGATGACTTACAATAAATGCTGCTTTTTACCCTGATACTCTCCTGTGTTAGCTCTCAAGCACATATACTCTAAAGTGTCCTGATACATAGCTACAACAGGCCCTCTGTAGCCACAGATTCTACATCCACAAGTCGAAGATATTCAGAAAAGCAATAGCATATAAAAATAAAAATTGTTTGAATTAAAACCATGGTATAACAACTATTTACATAACATTTATGTTGTATTAAGTATTATAACTAATCTAGAGATGACTTAAAGTTTTTGGAAGAATGTGTGAAGTTTGCCGGGCACAGTGGTTCACGCCTGTAATCCTAGCACTTTGGGATGCCGAGATGGGTGGATCACCTGAGGTCAGGAGTTCAAGATCAGCCTGGCCATCATGGTGAAACCCCATCTTTAAAAAAATAATAATAATAAATATTAATAAAAAAAAGAATGTGTGAAGGTTATCTGCAGACACTACAGCATTTTATATTAGAAACTGGAGCATCTGCAGATTTTGGTATCTGGATGTTCTTGGCATCAATGCCTCATGGATACAGAAGACTGGCTGTATGTGCTGAGTAAAATGGTCATGCTCTTGGCTAAGGTGCTGCTGTGTGTCACAGCAAGCCCTGATAGCTATTGTAAAGTAGCTAAAGGGGTGAGCACAAGTTCCCAGGAGGCCCCCAACAGTTCTGGCTGCAGATATTCCCTCTAGGAAATGTGACCTGCCGTGGGATGAGTGGCAGGAATCCTGTCGGGGAAGGGACAGATGTGTGTTTTTCTCCTATGAATGGCCACAGGTTATGTTTTGTGAATCTACATCTGGAGGTCCCATTGTCTCTTACCAAGTAGTGAGCCTTGAAGAATCTACCACTTTACAGAATAGGCTGAGTTCTGCTGAATCATTTGAGTAAATTGCTCAAGTCACTCAAATAGAGGGCAAGAGGGAGATGCCTCCAGTTGGACAAAGAGAAGATGCACAGCCAGGGGCCACCCTCTGACCCTGGATTCCCTGCTGGGAGCCACACCGTGAACACAGGGAAGAAGACCATGACAGAGAGAGAGTGTATGTGTGTGGTGGGCAGGAGAGGTTGTGAATAAAAGCAGAGTAATTCAGAACAAAACTTCTTACTAAAATATTATTTCTCTTATCTGAGCTTACTGCAAACTGAGTTATGCAAATGCAGTTGATGTAATTAATAGGTTGTGTGAAGGCAGAAAAGATTGAGAGCTAATATGCATTTTATTGCCAACTGTGTACCCTGGGGTGTCACTTGGCCTGGCTTATATGTCCTTAGTGTTCCCAATGATCCTGCAAAGTGAACACTGTCATTCCCACTCTGCAGCTGAAAACAGGCTCAGAGGAGCCAGTGATATGGCTGAAGTGTCCACAGGAAGAAAGCAGAACCAGGACTTACTTAAATGGCGGTCATCTGTCTCTAAATCTGGAAATTCTACTGTTTCCGCACTGGCCACTTAGCACTGCTGGGGGCTTCTCTGAGCTGAGAAACACACAGAGGGTACAAGGTGACCATGTGAAGCCAGGCCTCTCTTTGCCAGCTGACACTCCATACTCAGGCTTCAGCTGGACTCCCTCCCTCTGGCTGTGTCCCCAGGCCCCTGTGCCTACTGCAGGCTTTCATGCATGACGTTCTCCATCTCCTGTGCAGCTATTTCTTCTCTTTCAGCTTTTTCCCTTTTCTCTCACTGAAATACTTGAGTTTTGGTCTTTATCTTTTCCTGCTTTCCCACAGTCTCCCCTACATGCACAGAAACTTCTCCATTGTTCTTTTTCCTTTCTCATGGCCTTTCTCTCTCTTCCCCACTGGCATGTTCTCTCTGTTGTCATTTTCCTGTCCCCTCACCTTCCTCTTCCATTTTTTACTTCCTGTCTAACTGCACTCCTCTCTCTCTACACCCTCAATCCCAGGATTTCCTCTTCCTGTCTGCAGCCAGGGGGTCTGGCCAGGCAATCACCTGGACAGCAGCACTTTGGGCAGGTCCTCAAGGAGTCGCCAGACTGTCCTGGTTCTTAAATCAGGTTGGGGAGAAAAGGGAGAGGACTTTATTCAGAGTCAAGATTGGGCAGTTTCACACAGCAGAATCCCTCAGGGCTTTGGCCCAGGCCTGCTGTACACCTGAACAGCAGGTGTACCTGTCTGGGCCCATGTAACTAATGTCATATTTTTTTCATAAGATGAGACATAAAAATTAGAAGCATAAAAATAAACTGTGGGAGGTGAGGAAGGTGCTCTCGGTCACATCACGTGTAGGGCAACCACTATGTGAATGAGGCAGCACAGGGGATGCTTCTTCACCACTGGCTCCTTCCCCATGAAAGAGTTCCCTGCTGTAGGAAAGAGTCCAGGACTGCTGGTCAGACTTCAGAGTCCCAGTTGTGTGTCAGAGCTAGGAGGGCTCCAGGCTGCAGTGCATGGGCCAAGTCACCATGTGTGTAAAGAGTGAGGCATATGAGGCTGTGCTGGGCAGGAGCATGTGAATTTGTGCTTGTGTAGTGGGGGACCTACTGTGGCTTTGAGGTTGTTTTTCTCAGGATGAAGCCTTATCCATTACACTTTGGATATGCTGACCCCTGTGGTTTCCCCAAAGGTAGAAAACTCAACTGCAGAATCTGCGGTACCAGGTGACTGTGTCCAGGTTTCCACTTGAAAATATTTAGGACAGGGCCAGGCATGCCTGTAATCCAAACACTTTGGAGACAAAGGTGGGTGGATTACCTGAGGTCAGGAGTTCAAGACCAGCCTGACCAACATGGTGAAACCCCATCTTTAAAAAAATGAAAAATAAAAAATAAAAAAAAGAAAATACTTAGGACAGTGCACTGCCTGTCATATCATTCCTCCTCCTTTGGTGTTTCTTCAAAAGAAATACACAGCCTTACTTTTCTTTTCAAGCATGCTTACCATTTGTGTTTCTCTTTTATTAGTGTAACTGTCCAGTAGATTTATCTTGCCTGTTGCCCAGAAAAGCCAAATGGAGCTGAGAATAGCAGGCTTTCTGCAGCAGAGAAAGAATTTAATAAACACAGAGGCAGCTAAGTGACCAGGACAGGGGTTTATTATTACTCAAATCTTCCACCCCCCAAATTCAGAGGCTAGGGATTCATTTGAGGATAGTTTGGTGGGCAGGAGGCTGGGGAATGGGGAAAGCTGATTGGTTGGGTTGGGGAGGAAAATCACTGGGAGTCAGAGCTTGTTTACTTGCAGTGAGTCGGCCCCTGGACAGGGACCACAGGACCAGATGAGCTAGTTTACCAGTCTGGGTGTGCCAGCTAGTCCATCATAAGATAGGGTCTGAAAAATACTCTGAACACCAACTTAGGTTTGACACTAATGATGTTATCTACATGCACAATTGGGGAGCTTAGGAATCTTGTGGCTTCTGGCTGCATGGCTCCTGAACCATAACTTCCAATCTGGTGCCTGATTTGTTAGCTTGCTAAGGAGGTCTGATCCCCAAGAAAGGAAGGAGTTGGTTTAGGGAAGGGGCTATTATCTTTGTTTCAGACTTAGACTTGGAAGTAAACTCCTCTCATAGTTAGCCTGGCCTCTGCCCAGGAATGGACAAGGGCAGCTTGGAGGTTAGAAGTAAGGTGCAGCCAGTCAGGTCAGATATCTTTCACAGCCACAATTTTCCTATGTCAGGTTTTTCTCACTGTTGTAATTTTTGTGAAGGTAGTTTTGTTAGGAGCAATATAAATACAATGGTTCTGAGAATGTCTTCTGGAGTCAGGCTGGCTCCACTTCAAATTCCTGCTTTCAAATCCTCCTTTGCTGGCTGAGTGACCTTGGGCAGGTTATTTAATGTCTCTGTGCATCTGTTTTCTCATACAAAAGATGAAAGTGGTGGTGTGACCTCAGCCTGAGGTAAGCACCAAATGAGTAAACGTATGCACACTCATCAGCCGTGCCTCACGTGTGGCACTTTGCATGTCAGGCACAGGTGATGAGTGCATATATGTTACTCATGTTCGTGTTAGCTCCTGTGTTTTGCCTGCAACACTGCACAAAGAGCAGATTTGATGAAAACCAGTTGTGTTCAGTGATACTTTCCAGTGGCTGTGCACCCTCCCAGGGAAACTGCAGCAATCCTCTGACCATCAGTGATCTCCTGGGTTGGGAGATCCCAGGAAGACCCCTCAATCTCCAGCAGGTTTGACCTTCAAGGAGCTTCAGGGAATGAGCTATAGATGTATATCTACCTGGGAGGAACTGGGAGTTTATTAGCTCATCTGTTCAGTTCATCCAAAGGGGAATAATGATTCAATTTCTTGCCTTAAATCTGCCCCAGTAAAATGTTTATAGTATTACAGTGGAAGAATTTGTACATGTAGGGGAGGAAATATGACTTTTCCTCACCCATCCTAGATTCACTGCTGAGACCCTTACAGCAAAAGACAGACTTACAAGGGAAGAGCACATCTAGTTATCTAAAATAAGTTTTGTATGACAGCAGTGCCTTCTAAAGGAAATGAAGGCCCATGGAAACAACTAACCTCAGTTGTTGTTTTTTTAACAGTAGGTTTTATGAAGCGTGAGTAATCATGGAGAACTATGATAAGACAAAAATGTATGATCTAACAGTAACAAATTGGGGAAAACCTAGCCAGGCCCCTTTATTCAGGCTCTTCTCTGTGTCCCTGTGTCTTGAGACTCAAGGACGTGCAATTCCTCTGGGTACAGAAAGAACACTTCTCACATGAGAATCTCATGATCAGCTTCAGGGAAGGAGGGCAGGGGGAGAGTGACAGTGACTTTCCTGCTTCTGTTGTTTTCTCAAATTCCTTTAGCATAAAATATTTGGTACCCAGGTGTTATAATTTGGAGTAGCTTGTCCTGAACTCCATCATGCACATGGAATGAAACCCAGAATCTTTGAAGGTGATACTTATGACTACAAAATATTTATTTATTTATTTTTAATTTTTAAATATTTTTTCTAAGAGATGGGGTTTCACCATGTTGTCCAGGCAGATCACGAACTCCTGACCTCAAGTAATCCACCCACCTTGGCCTCCCAAAGTGCTGGGATTACAGGCGTGAGCCACTGCACATATTTAAATTCAAAATAGAAATGATGGCCAGGTGGAGTGGCCCACTCCTGTAATCTCAGCGCTTTGGGAGGCCCAGGCAGGTGGATCACTTGAGTCCAGAAGTTCAAGACCAGCCTGGCCAATATGGCAAAATCCTGTCTCTACTAAAAATATAAAAATTAGCCTGGTCGTGGAGCACACCTGTGGTCCCAGCTACTTTGAGGGGTGGGGCATGGGTGGGAAAGGATCAACTGGAGCAATATCATATGTACAAACAAATAATTTTTTTTTTATTTAAGGCTAGTCAAGTGACGCAGTGGAAGGAGAGAAGGAACAAAGAAATCTACAACTGGTTGTGATCAATTATTTGTAAACAGGAATGAATTTTTATGCACTATACTCTTAATCAAAATCACATATGCTGCACTATTGGTGGTGACCAGCAGTGACCTGGGCACTTCCTATGCTTATTTCTGGGGATAACAATTTTCAATGCATGCAGCCAACCTCTCCATGAATATTGCTACTCTTTGACTGTTCAGTTTCCCATCCCAGACCCTGCGGTCCAGCCTGCTAGAGGAAACGGAGTTTGTGTGTTTCCCTACCTGTCAGTCCACTCCAAGGAGCCAACAAGGCATTCCACCTGCCCCCACCCCACGTCCTTTAAACTGAGCCCTCAAAGACTAGGGTGTTTTTCAGTCCTTCGTAAACGCTTTCAGTCCCAAAACATGAAAATCAGAGCAATGGTCCTGAGCGCATTGAGTGACATGCTACCTGCTCCCAAGACCCAGCAGGAGCTTCATCCCAAGTGCTCTAAAGAAGAGGAGAAAACATTTGTAGCTCTGGTCGCATCCTAAGGCATCTTCTCCTTGGGGCAGGGTCCTGGCGGGATGAGGGGGAGCCCCACCATCAGAGACTCGCCCCTCACAGCTGCTCAGGCTTCTCTTCTTCGGAGCTCGGCTCCTGTGGGGGAGGATCAGGATGGTGTCCTAGCCCCCGCGCTGGAAGAGGCCACCCACGCTGTGGATTTCTCTTTCCAGCTGAAGAGATCTTGGGATGAAACAAGATTTCCTAGAGCCAGGTTCCAAAGCTTAGTGAAACAGGGTTTTCATGGCCCTCAATAGAGATGAAATTCAGCATGAAAATCTGAATATGAAAAATGGAGTAAATTAACATTTGGAATAGGATGGCTTATCTGAATAAAGCAGTTGTACTCCCAAGTTAGGTCTGGAACCATTGACCCTAAACTGAGACACAATCACCAATGACTGAGCTAATCCCACCAAAATTTCTCAGCCCCCGTTTACTTACCAAAAGACAATGTGTGCCATTATGAGATTTCCCAGGTGAAAGGAGTCTCGGAGTCTAGGGTTGAGGGGGCAGCAGCCTTTTTAGAGGAGGAGACCTCTCACCCCAAGGCCCAGGGTCAACTTGAGAGGAGGTGGGGACTTCCTGGGTCACTGGGTCCCTGGTGGGGGTCCGGAACTCCGATTGCACAAGGCCAGGCAGCTCGCCCAGGATGGCGGGACCCTCCAGGCTCTGTGACCCCGACTGGATAATTCGGCAATTTCCTTGTAGTCCAGACCACTGTGAAAGCCCGGCTTCTGGGATCTCAAACACTGAAGTGGGAGACAGAAGAGATGGGGACATGGGGGACATCAGGAGACTCAGACACTGAAGCAGAAGAGACACGCAGGCTTGCAGCCCTGTGCTTCTGAACTTCAGCGGAATACTCATGCCATTCAGGGAGTAAAAGATGGCATTGCACCCTAATTAAACAGAAAGGTTCCACCAAGACTCGAACTCAGATCACTGGATTCAGAGTCCAGAATGCTCACTATTACACCATGGAACCTTGCACTGAGGCTTTCCTGGAGGTGTCTGAATTACTAATAAGCAGCAATAGTTCCCATTCACCCATGTCAAGGCATTTCTATTGATCCCACAAGTAACACTTGGGAAAGGTGGACCTGCAGGAAGGAACCATTACTCTTTCTTTCTCTCTGCTGTCTCTTTTGATCGACTTTTATTATTTCATTTGCACCTCAGAAAGCGAGGCAAAATCCACTCTGGGTTTAGGACCAGAGCCCTTGAAGCCTGGGTCATAGAGTTTCCTGTGTCGAGGTGAAATTCCCTTCCCTTCTATTCCCTTCCCTTTCTTTTTCTTTCTTTCCTTTCTTTTTTCTTTTTTTTTTTAATTGAGATAGTCTCCTGTTGCTAAGGCTGGAGTGCAGTGCAGTGGCAGTGGGTGATCTCCCCTCACTGCAACCTCCTTTTCCTGGGTTCAAGTGATTGTAATCCCCAGTAGCTGGGATTACAAATGTGAACCCCCACACCTGGCTAATTTTCATATTTTTAGTAGAGATGAGGTTTCACCATGTTGGCAAGGCTGGTCTTGAACTCCTGGCCTCAAGTGCTTTTCCCACCTCAGCCTCCCAAAGTGCCAGGATTATAGGTGAGAGACACTGTGCCAAGGCCAGAGATGAAATTTCTGCAAAATTTCTGTTATTTTCTTTCTGTTTTCGCTCTTTTCCATTTGCCCAAGGAAGCCAGATGATTGTCGAAACAGGACTCAGGACTTCCTGGGGGCTTCCCCTCTTCATCCATTTAGTATAT